TGATCTTTTCAGACACACCCATAATCAAAACTTAGGTGCTTACAGAGGCGCCACAATTCTAGCTGATTTACCTAGCTGTTCTGTACTTTAGACGCAGTAAGAGAGCCACGGGACTGACAGCCTGTCTTCGGATTCTCAGGGCCACGCTGGACTACTCTAGAGCAGTTGCTCGGCATCTGCTCAGTACTGAATGAGCACCCCAGGGTGGCTCTGGAGGGCTGCAGACTGTGTTTGTGAGAGGGGAAAGTGCTTCTCACTCGCCATAGAAACATCAGCTACACTCTAGGAGTCATTTGCAAAGCCACCCAACATCACTTTGCATGCTCAGTAGTGAGTCATGAACTATCATTCTAAATAATCTAGCTTAGCTCACTTAAAAACACTCAGCATGTTTATGTCTTGGATGACTCAGAAAAGCCCTGGCAACCATACCAAAGTTGCTATAGTTATCAAGGTCCGGCTGTGAGACAATGGACACCTTACCCATCGAGAGCAGATCAAAGAAGCCATAACACACATGTGCGGTGTCAAAAACAGCTTCAGCCTCAAAATCAAGATGGCAAGGGCTGCAAATGCTAACAACTGCAACGAGTGAAAAACCAGCTATAAAAATACAAAACAAAACAACATGTTCACTTTATGTGCTTTACAACAAATACAGTACATATATGAAAACTATCACTATTCATTAGGTCAAAGATCTAACATATTACTAGGCCTCTTAGCATTTATTCATTCAACAAAGATCCACCGAGTGCCTGTTACAGGGCAGGCACTCTTGTAGAGCTTCAGATACAACTCAGTGACTTCTGCCCTTGTGAGGCTGAGATGTTAGTACGTTTGGGAGGGACTGGCAACAAGTGGACATGCAAATAAATGAACCCATTCCAGCCCAGTACAGAATGGTGAGTGCATGGCCAAGAACTGTGGGCCTCGGGTTGGGGCCATCCTGTACATAGGATTTGTCGCCATGGACTGCATCAAAAAGGTGACATCTGAGGTGAGCCTAGGGGCAGAAATAGGAAACAACTATCATGTGTGGTCACTCAGTTGATAACACGAGCGTACAGGAACTCGGTCATTTTGAGAGGAGCAGGAAATACATATAAATATTTGTACTAATGAGTGGGACACCGTAATTTGATCTAGGGGACAGTTCTGCTGAGCAAAGGTTTCATAGAACATTTCTCTAAGAGACATAAAATATCAACTTACTAGAAAAAGGGACAATGACTAAGGTCAAATAACTGAGGCAACAAAAAGCAGGTGGCTCGCTGTGAGTTCGAGACCAGCCTGGGCTAAGTAGTGAGTTCCAGGTCAGTCTCGACTACATAGTGAGACCCTGTCTCAAAAAACAATTTTATAAAAGCTGGTGGCAAGTAAATGTTTATGCTCTAATTCCTAATATTCAAATTCAGTGTTAAAGATAACAGGGCATTTCCATTTATAGAGTTAATATTAATACTGCATGTTAGAGAGAATGCAACAAAACAAACACTGACAAATAAACTGGTACATTTTTGTATTTCAAAATATTTATCAGGGCATAGGAAAGATCTAACTCCCTTGACTTAAACCGCCATTCTAGGAACTTTTAATCTAAAACAATGATCAAAACACAGACATGCACTACAAAGATGATCACTGACATATATTTAACAGCAAAAAAGAAAAAAGGAACCAACCTAAGTCACTAATAAACAGGAACACAAAACAAATAGCTACATTTCCACAGGTATATAGCCAATAAAAATGACATATTAAAAGATTATTCAATGGCATGGAAGAGTTTACAGGATATAAAACTGCACACGTACAGAATACTAATTCTGTAAAAGAAAACCCATGAAAACATCTGTACATACAAACACACACACACACACACACGGTGGTATAGAGGAGGGTGCTACCCAACATACCAAAAAGTTAATGGGTTATTTTTGAATGGTAACTGATCTGTATTTTCCAAATTGGCTTCCAAATCCCTACTACTACTCAAATGTAAGAGCAGACTGGAGAAGGATCAGCAGAAACGCATTACCAGTGTTCAACGACTCAAGCAAGGCAGCGCTCTCATGAATTACCTTTGAACTTGAATTTAACACAGTAGCCTACCAGAGAATAAAATGAGGAGACCTTTACCTCACCCCGTTCAAGGAGCTGTTTTCTGGAATAAAACAAAATATTATCTATTTACTGAATGTTTATTACCGTATGGTTATGTAAGAATAACTTCATTTATTTTTAGATTTTTGAAATTTGACTCTCTATAAATGAGCAAAAATAAAAGTAAAGATTAGATAGGACTACTAAAACTTTCATTAATTTAAAAAGCATAATTTACAGTCATATTTAAAGTATGTCAAGTTCGGTGTGGTGGTAAACACCTGTAATCCCAGCACTTGAGATGCTGAGGCAGGAGGATCGCCACGAGTTTGAGGCCAGTCTGGGCTACATAGTGAGTTCAAGACCAGCCTGAACTACACAGTGAGACCCTGTCTCAAAAAAAAAAAAAAAAAAAAAAAAAAAAGTATGTCAAAAGCTATTCTTTGGTTAAGATAAAATGGATTTTACTGATTCCCAGAAATTGTGGTATCTTTGGAAAGATAAATGACTAGAAAGGCTTTCTATTAAATAGTCAAGCTATGTACAATAAATATAATACTTTATATAAATGTACATATGAAAAATCAAAATTACAACAGTAATTATAACTATAAACCACATGCACATCCTGGTACGTAACTCTTCGTGAGCATCTCAATATATTTTTAGGATAAAGTTCTACAAGAAAAATTACTGGGTAAACATTTATTTATTTTTTAGTTTCAGAAAAGTGATCCTATTTACTAAATACTTATGTCCAGTGTGTGGTGAATACAGCAGGAATAATATAGACATCATTCTTATCCTCCTGAAGTTATGTTAGTTTCTACGGGGTGCAAGGGCCTTGTAATATGAATTTGGGTGTGGGAGAGAGAAGTAAAACCGTGTTCAGAAGAAATTCAATGGCACAAAGATGCAGATGAAACTAAGAGTGGTCAGCAGAAGGTCTCCAGGGGCAGCGGGTGTCACCACATAACCCTGACTCCTCAGCAGCCCCTTGCCTCAGATGCAGCCAAGCACAGGAGGTTTCCCTACTGCTCCAGAGATCTTTCCATCACAGCAGAGCTTTTCGGTGAGCTGCCACATTCCAGGAAGAAGCCCAGGAGGGGAGTCACTGTTATGACTGCCAAGGATCCCCCACCCACCATAAATACTGATGGAAATAAAAGTGACAGCTGATTCCAGATTGCACATGCAAAATGAAAGCAGCAAGAAAGTTAAACACCAGCCCACAGGGGCAAAAATTTTGACCTCTCAGGAAACAGGATTAATGCAAGAAACAAAAAAGTATTAAATGAAAATTCCAATTATTGTCCTCAGTGAAGTCTGAGAGGAGAGTACTTTTGTATAATTAGACATGCCTGCAGAAATTCTGGAAAAACACATTTACCTAATTTAAAACCTCCAGGTTGAAAAACAAAATTACATATCTGGAATCAGTAAGGTAAAACCCAGCCATGGGATTCTAAGAACATAGAACAAAAAGAAAAAAATACAATAAAGGCAATAATACAAGTCACAGAAAGAAAGGCTGAAGCAAAAGAACATGAGGACAAAAGTTCCCAAAGCTGAAGAAAGATTTAAGTGCTCAAATCAAAATATCCAATGAGTAATAAAGCTCTCTTTCACACATGCACAAAGCCCTCCAATAAAATAAAACCCAGATATATCCTCTAAACAATCTACCAGTTAAATAATTGTACTTTTCAGCCAAGAAAGCACTCAGAAAATATGCCATCTCTATATTCCCTAAGAGCATCATTTGGGTACATGCCCTATGGGTCTAAGGAGGGTAAAGCATGAGATACAAGAACAGTCAAGAACAAATGAACTATAAATATGAAGCGAAGTCCATAAATGGCTGGTGTCTTCAATCTACATGTTCAGAGACTTCTTTATATTTTTGGTACCAGGGACTGAACTCGTGACCTTGTGCTTGTGAGGCAGGTATGGTGCCACCAAGCTAAATTCCCGGCCCTTAGAGACTTCTAACAATCTAGGAGGAGACGTTCAGATTGCTTCAGTGTAACGTGGGTGATGCAGTTGCGTAGGGAGGAGGAAAAAAAAGTGTTGTAGTAGCTCAGCTGTGAAGCAGCAGGTGTTTGAAGCCAGAGTGTGAATCCTGACTCTGCTGCTCTCTGGCTCTGTTCTTGCAAGTGTGACTACGAGATGAAAGGATTGGTGCCCAGGGTGGCATCTAGTGGGAGGCCTTTAGGTCACTGGGGTTGTGCCCTCAGAAGGCAGCGTTCCTGGGACTTCCTGCAGCTCTCATGAGAGAACTTTTAGAAAAGCCCAAGTCTGGCCCCCCCACACTCTGTCTCTCTGGCTCTGATTCCAGGCTTGGGACAAGACTGTCTGCTCTACTAACCCTTCCCCTGCCATGATGTGTTGCCCTAAGTAGAGGTCAAACCACCCCCACACCCAATCTTGGACTTCGAACAAAACTGAGTTAAATAAACATTTTCTCTTTATAAAGTTAGTTGCCTCTGGTATTTCATTGGAGTAAGCATGCCTTTGAGGAAATTACTTGCCTTGCCTATGCTGCAGTTTCCCCACCTGTAAATAAGGGAATGATTAC